CATTCTCACACCCGATGCTTGTTCCTCACGTATTTAAAGATCGTCTCCTTTCTATTTCCTGCTGGATCAGTCATATACAGCTAAAAATAAACCTCCTCATTCCTCTGATTTTCACACACAGTCTGGAGGAGGATACACTGGCTGTGTACGTCAGCATGGCATGATGTAAAACTCGGCTGTTCGTATGTCTCTTGAGTGTCGCCTAATGTTGTATGTATATTAACCATCAATTTTACACAAAAATATTACATTCTGGATTTCTTTTAAAGTGCTTAACATTAGCTGTATGATTTGAAGCAACATTGCTGTGAGATAAAACGGTAAAAACAATATTTTGCTGATTGGCATTTTTAGTCTTCAGAAAGATAACTATGGCGGCAAATCAATGCCTAAAAGAACCCCTTTAATAGAAAAATATAATGAACTATTTATATTATGTAAAAATGCATAAGAATTTTGGTACATTTACAATGCTAATAACCATGTAAGTATCTGTAAATATCTCTTAACAACACAATGCAATTACTAGTAAGACTTCCTGTTAATAAAGTATCTCGTAAGAATCTATTCTAATCTAATCTATTTATATAATAAACCACAATAAATAAATCAAATTAAGTGATGTCATGGCTCAAGTCAAGTGAATTACGGGTCATTGGACAGGCGTCCAATCACAACTGACTTCTGGAAAAAGGGGAAATAAATAACCAATGACATTTGGTTATTAAAACAATAAGTGTTTTAAGTTTATAAAGTGTAGTTTTTCCTTGTAAATGGAGACTCATAGTTCTCCAGAGTTGTGATCACTGTTCCTATGAATCTTGCTGATTTGCGAAGATTATTTGTCCACATTGTTCCGCTTAGTCTAAATATTAGAGTGATTATTTCTTCCTTTATAGTAACAGGACAGTCTTGTGATCTATGGCTACATCCTCTGAAAAATAAGATCTGATGATGAATAGGATATTAAACTGAGGTGTATTATTGCAAAACTAGCAAAACAATTCATTTCTAGTTTGTAAAACACACACTGATGTCTATGGACGTGGCATTAGCAATCCATTTAATTATAAATTGATATTCATGTCAAATACACATTGGCTGGGCATCCCTTTGATATAATAGGTTATAATGGAGCCTTTAACCTGAAATTGCCCTAAAATGTTTTCTATGTAAGCAGATCACTAGGGTTTCCACTAGGGCACCATGAAACCGTTCCCAAAGCTCTTTGCTCAGTAGCCGAGACTTTGTAAACACCCTGTCAAAAGCTGTTTTACGGGATTGCGAAACCACTTGTTGTGGAATAATGGACTTGCGTTTACGGTCTGTGTGGTCCAGGTGTTAATATCATGCTGAACCTTCACAACGTCCATCTGTTTCTGTGGAGAAAAGGTTAGGGGTCATAGGGTTAACACAAGTCAATATCTCACTCAGTACAGGATATGATGGTAAAGAGCCATTTCAACACCTGGTTGTTATTCAAGACACTGTACTTAATGGACCAATAAAGCTCTCTGAGTGTGTTATTCATTCAAAACGATTGACATTGTGGAATATTTTAGTCTATATTCAGTACAGTATATACTGTGTGTGTATATATATATATATATATATATATATATCAGAGCCCGACCGATAAAGGATATTGAAGGCTGATACCGATACAAATATTTGTTGGTTTTAAAATCCGATATTCCGATATATCGGCCGATATTTTTATTTTTTTTATTTATTTTTTAAATATTCATTTATCGGCCATTATAACTGCCGATACCGATAGTTTGGAAAATGCCTAATATCGGCCGATAAAATCGGCCTGCCGATAAATGTCCGAATATCGAGGGGCGCCCCCGCTTCTCTCCTTTACTTATTCCCACAAATTTGAGATTCAGCCTACGCGAACGAGTATATTAATCTATATTCAGTCTATATATATATATCAGAGCCCGACCGATAAAGGATTTTGAAGGCTGATACCGATACAAATATTTGTTGGTTTTAAAATCCGATATTTCGATATAACTGCCGATATCGATAGTTTGGAAAATGTCTAATATCGGCCGATAAAATCGGCCTGCCGATAAATGTCCGAATATCGAGGGGCGTCCCCGCTTCTCTCCTTCGCTTATGGTTTTTGAAGATTTCTTTTTGAGTCAGAGAAATAACGAAAATCACACCCAACACACTTAAATTTCAAGAAGTACTCAAAACAACAGACAAAAGGTAACTCTCAAAATGTCATTATCGAGTGTAAAGTGGTTTGACGGTACTTTAATTACAAAGACGTTCAAAATCTAGGATCAGCGGAGAGGAGCTAAGAAAAAGAGCGACTACCACACGATCGGCGCGCATGCCTTGTGTTACGACATGCTTAGACAACACAGCGAGTCTAATGTCAGATCTGAGTCTTCTGTCTGCACTATTGCAATATTAGTGTTTAATATAAACTGCACATTTATTAGCCAATGGTTTGTATTACAAATCTCAACCAGCCAGTTATTTTTAGTGCTTAGATGGTATTTTAAGTTCATTGAAGTGAAACGTGCTGGGAAGTTATGCTCTGTTAGACTTTGTGCTCAACACTATTTGTGTTACCGTCAGACATGTTGAGGTTTGAGCGGTGATATGAGTCACAACTGAATTCTTCAGACTTTAATAGGAAGGTTTGAGAAGTTACTATTTCAAGCCAGTATGCAGCAGGGGTAATGATTTCAGAAGTGGAGATTAGATCTCACATTTAAACTAAAGGTCATGTCTTCATTAAGGTGTTTGCAGTTTCTATTTGTCTAAAACCCTATAATGAATGTAATTGTCAGGCTTTAGATTGTTGTCACTTCATTCATTCACTTTGTTAATGACAAGGCGAACTTTGCAATGTTTTGCAATTCTTGTAACAGGTTGTGATATTGCAGTGTGTTTGTTTCATGGGGTTTACGGTCATTAGTTCAGTCAGGCAGTGAGAACATGTTGTCACACAGTTTCTCCTCAGGAAGATAACATGGAGCTATTTAGATTTGAAGCTATAGCTACCAGAATATACTAATAGTCTGGAAATAAAACACATCTGCACATTTCAGGTGTGTATATAAGTTTGTAAAGTGTGTTTTACCTTTAAATGGAGATTCAAAGTTCTCGAAAGTTGTGATCCCTGTTTCTATGGATGTTGCGGGTTGCACCGCTGCTGATTTGCACAGATTATTTGCTCACATTGTGCCAAGTACTTATTCACAGTCGGATATATCTTAAAGGAGAACTCCGGCGCAAAATGAACCTTTGGTCTAATAAAACATCAGTACCTAGTTGACCGTTCTCTAAAATTTGTTTCATGATAAGCGAATATAAAGAGTTTTATCTCTAAAAACGCTAGTATATAGGGCATAGAGTAAATAAAACTTGCTAGTTAGTACCACTAACAAGGCACAAAATAGCCCCACAGTAACACAGTAACATAATGAGGGTCCATACATGCACAGCTCACTTCGTCTATAGGCGGCGCCATCTTTGGAAAACAGTCAAGACAAGTCAAACCACGAACGTCGTGCTGAGTGATCTGAACTGTATGAACGGCGTTCATGGTTCGACTTATCGAGACTATTTTCTAAGATGGCGCCTGTCTGTATACACGAAGTGAACTGTCTTCATAAAGTATCTTCTTATTAAACGGTCTGTACACTTACAAAGTTCTTAATGCTTCGTTTTGCATGTATGGACCCTCGTTATGTTACTGCGTTAATGTGGGGCTATTTTGAGCCTTGTTAGTGGTATAAACTAGTGATTTATTTTTACTTAGTCAATGCCCCCCCATTAGCATTATACGCTAAACAGTTTTTAGAGATAAAACTCTTTATATTCGATTATCATGAAAACAAATCCCAGAGAACGATTGACTAGGTACCGATGTTTTATTAGACCAAAGGGTCATTTTGCGCCGGAGTTCTCCTTTAAATCAGGTAATCAATCTTATTAGTTTGAGAAAGTGTTTTCCATCATCGGCAAGGGACCACAGGCATCATCTGCATCTTAAAGGGATAGTTCACTTTGAAATTAATTTTTGATATGTTTTATCTTACCTCAAGGGCATCCAAGATGTAGGTGTCTTTGTTTCCACAGGATTTTCAATTTTGACATTTTTCAGTCAAACCGTTGTTGTCTATCAGTCATACACTGGAGGCTAAGGGGCATGCACAGAGAAGTCCAAATTAAACATGATTTAATAACTCGTAAATGTAAGTACACATTGATGGCCTAAGACACGAAACGAGCGGTTTGTGTGAGAAAACAAACGGTATTTATATCGTTTTACCTTGTGTAATCCAAGTGATCTGAATCAGTTGTTCAATGTCCAACTGAATCAGTTCAATGTTACGCCGGAAGTGATCACTTGCGTGTGACGTCACTCAATATTTACACGGCGATTTCGTAAGTTTTACCTTTTACTAAACATATTTAGATATACCGAAATCGTCTTCCGTTGCGGTTTCCCGTATATCTAAATATGTTTAGTGAAAGGAAAAACTTCCGAAATCTCTGTATAAACAAAGAGTGACGTATCGATCACCTCCAGACCGAAGCGCCCGTGCCGTCAGATCATTTTGTCATGGCTATAGTATGATTACAAGAGGTAAAACGATATAAATTCTGTTCGTTTTCTCACACAAACCGCTCGTTTCGTGTCTTAGGCCATCAATGTGTACTTACATTTACGAGTCATTAAATCATGTTTAATTTGGACTTCTCTGTGCATGCCCCTTAGCCTCCAGTGTATGACTGATAGACACGAACGGTTTGACTGAAAAATATCAAAATTGAAAATACTGTGGAAACAAAGACACCTACATCTTGGATGCCCTTGAGGTAAGATAAAACATATCAAAAATTAATTTTCTACCCGATAAGGTAGATTGACTTGTCTTCGTCCAGCTGTTGTTTCTGTTCATGCATGCACAGTGATGCATCATCATTCACACTGAAATTGTATCTTGTTTCTGGAGAACGGCTGAATTATTGTCAAGCTACTAAAAAATGTAATCAGGCTAGTTATTTTGCTACTTTTAAGCACTTCTCAACTGTTGTGCACATAATTGTGTATCAGTTTGTGTTCAGTCATATCTCTAGGCAGAGCTCTGTCTCCTGGAGAAGCATTTAGGGGTCTCTTAGATTCTGTGCCTCTGATTGGCCACATCCTCTGTGAAACACGTGCCGCCGTCTCCCCCTCCCAGCCCTTTAGATGAGAAGTAGCGCTGCAGAGGAGACCGTCCTCACCGCATATCAACCTGAGAACTAATAAGACCGAACACAATCCTGCCAAACTTGTGTCTCTCGCCGTCAGCTATACACATCTGCCTGCCACCCTTCTTCAGTGTCCTTAGAGGTGTTTTGAGGGGTAAAATGGGCAGACAAGGGCAGGATGGCAGCGCCACTGTCCCCGGCATGCGGATACAGCGCTCGCAGAGCCGGCTCAGCCTGTCTGCCTCCTTCGAGGCACTGGCTATCTATTTCCCCTGCATGAACTCCTTTGACGAGGCAGACCGAGGTAAGAATGAAGTGATGTTTTTAAAAGCTTTATTTGTTTGTGACCATCGGAAGGCCAGAGAGACGTACGATTGATGTATGTTTGTGTCGATGGATGTATTTGGGGGGCAGAGGATGGCAGACTGATGCCCCCTGCTGATCATAACACGTCTTTTTTTTGTATCTCATTCAGTAGTTCAGTAGTAAAAAAATATCTTAAAGGGATAGTTCACCCAAAAATGAAAATTAAGTCATTAATTACTCACCCCCATGCTGTACCAAACCTGTAAGACCTTCGTTCGTCTTCGGAGCACAAATGAAGATATTTTTGATTAAATCTGAGAGCTGGATCACTGCTACATAGGCTGCCTAAGGGAATGAAACTTGACGGCCCAGAAAGTCATTAAAGAAAATGTTTAAATATACCATGTGACTACAGTGGCTCAACTATACGTTTATCAAGAAAACAAAAATAACGACTTTATTCGACTATTCCTTTGAATGGACAGCATGGGGGTGAGTAATCAATGACTTAACTTTCATTTTTTGGGTGAACTAACCCTTTAAAGGGTGAAATGTATAGTGTTTGGTTTCCAGTTTGGTCAGCAGACTTTGCAATAAGGTTCATTAGTTAACTAGCACAAACTAATAATGAAGTGCACTCATGCAGCATTTATTAATCTTTGTTAATGTTAGTTTCAACATTTACTAATACATTATTAAAATCTTATTAAGATTAGATAATGCACTGTGAACTAACATGAACAAACAATGAATGACTGTATTTGTATTATTAAAGGAGTAGTTCACTTTTTAAAAAAAACTTTTGCTGATAATTTACTCGCCCCCATGTCATCCAAGATGTCCATGTTTTTTTTTTCTTCAGTCGAAAAGAAATGAAGGTTTTTGATGAAAACATTCCAGGATTTTCTCCATATAATGGACTTCAATGGGAACCAAATGTTTCAAGGTCCAAAAGACAGTTTCAGTGCAAACTGTTCAAAGGGCTATAAACGATTTCAGACGACAAATAAGGGTCTTATCAAGCGAAACGATCGCTCATTTAAAAAAAAAAAAGTTTAAGTTTTATAAGCACAAATGCTCGCCTTGCTCTGTTCTGTGATGCACATTCGTTCGTTGAATGAACCAAATGACACAAAAAAAGATTTGTTCATTTTGATGAACGAGTTCAAACAGGAGAGTCATGAACGCTCATCACAGAACAGAGCAAGGCGAGCATTTAAGCTTATAAAAGTTAAACTTTGTTATTTATTTATTAAATGATCGTTCGTTTCGCTTGATAAGACCCTTATTCATCGTCTAAAATCGTTTAAAGCCCTTTGAACAGTTTGCCGTTTGTACTGAAACTGTCTTTTGGACCTTGAACCGTTTGGACCCCATTGAAGTCCATTATATGGAGAAAATTCAATGTTTTCATCAAAAACCTTCATTTATTTTCGACTGAGGAAAGAAAGACATGGACATCTTGGATGACATGGGGGTGAGTAAATTATCAGCAAAAGTTTTTTTTTTTAAGTGAACTACTCCTTTAAGTAACGCTAACAAATATTAACAAATACTGTAACAAATGTATTGCTCATGTTTATCAACATATTAACTAATGAACCTTATTGTAAAGTGTTACCAATAAACCATGTTTCCCAAAGAGCATGAAAAGTGTTGATCTGTGGTTCTTGAAGATTGAATGGTTCGACTTGTTGACTTCTGGTTCCACTCTTCTGGCATAAGTTTGGGATAGAGTAAAGACCGAGACCTGAAGAATCTCTGAACAATTCAGACAATGTAAATATTCTTTGGGGGGAATGAAGTAGGTTTCATGCCACAGCGTGCTCATGAGTTGAATATCCATGAGTTGAAGACTCGGCCCGAATCCAAGTCAAGACCGAGTCCACAAAACTACTCGCGATGTACTGGAATGGGTGGTCATAGTGTCCCGCATTTGTCTTATCTTCTCATCTTCCCTTCCCCTTGTTGTAATTTCCAGAGGAGGGTAAGAAAAAGAAGCCAGTGCGGCTGGCAATCCAGCGGAGCGTGGAGACGGGTTTAGCCGTCGAGATGAAGAGCAGGATGACACGGCAGCCCAGCCGAGACACCTCGGACGATGGTGAGAAGCCAAAACCTGGAAAGTAAGTGCATTTGAATATGATGGTCCACCACTCCATAACTCACATGATGCTGGTTGGCTGGGATTAGATCAGTGATGATATCTTTAAAGAAGTCTTGCAAGAAGCCGTTAGCACCCAGTTTACTGATTTTCTGTCCGTTATCTATTAATAGTCTGATCTTCCCTGGAGTGAAGATCTCATCAGACAGCCAGTTCACTGAGTTTTTGGACGGTCTTGGCCCAGCCCAGCTGGCAGGGAGACAGACATTGGCCACACCTCCAATGGGTTAGTATCATGGGTCTCTATTTTAATATTGTGTTAATATGAACAATTCTCTCTGGAGTTATGTAAGACACTGTCAAACTTCAGTTTTGACAAATATTTAGCAATAGCATATACACTACCGGTCAAAAGTTTTAGATCGGTAAGATTTTTTTATGTTTTTAAAAGAAGTCTCATCAAGGCTGCTTTATTTGATAAAAAAAAAAAAACACAAAAAAAAAACAGTAATATTGTGAAATATTATTACAATTTAAAACTATGTGAACATATAGTGAAGTGTAATTTATTCCTGTGATCAAAGCTGAATTTACAGCATCATTACTCCAGTCTTCAGTGTCACATGATCCTACAGAAATTATTATAATATGATGCTCAAGAAATATTTATGATTATTATCCATGTTGAAAACAGTTTTATTTCAGGATTCTTTGATGAATAGAAAGTTCAAAAGAACAGAATTGATCTGAAATGGAAAGCTTTTGTAACATTAATCACAACCATTCAAAGGTTTGGGGTCAGTTAGAATTTATTTTTTATTTTTGGGGGGAAAGAAATTAGAAAATACTTTTATTCATCAAGGATGAGTTAAATTGATCAAAACTTACAGTAAAGACATTTATAATGTTAGAAAAGATTCTTCTTTTGAACTTTCTATTCATCATAGAATTTTGGGGGAAAAAATGGTACACGACACGACATTTCGACATGGTTTTTGAGCATAAAATCAGCGTATTAGAATGATTTCTGAAGGATCATGTGACACTGAAAACTGATGTGTAATCAGCAACAGTAATGATGTTGAAAATTCAGCTTTCAAATTACATTTTAAAATATATTAAAATAGAAAACAGCCATTTTAAATTGTCATAATATTTCACAATATTACTGTTTGTCATTTTTTTTAATCAAATAAAGCAGCCTTGGTGAGCAGAAGAGACTTCATTTAAAAACATAAAAAAATCTTAGTGATCTAAAACTTTATGTACAGCTGAACAGATATCCTTCTTGGCATTCTATATAGTATTTATAACATACAAAGTAAACAGTACGTGTACTATGATGATATTTACATTATGCGAACAGTATGCTTTGCATATGCGTAAAGGAATAGTTAACCCAAAAATATCCAAATCTACTCGCCCTCAAGCCATCCTAGCTGTTCATCCTAGCATATTCAATAAAACTTTGACTTTCTTCGGCTGAAAGAAGAAAGTCATCAACATCTATGATGGTTTGAGGGTGAGTAAATTACCGTATAATTTTCATTTTTGAACAGAAATTAATCCTTTAAAGGAATAGTTCATAAAAAATAAAAAATCAGTAATAATAATAGGTCAACAGTTACTCAATATCATTTCAATCTTTGGTTAATCTTTGAAACACAAATGAAGTTTTTTAATGAAAATTAGAGGTTTCTGTTCCTTCTATTGAAATTTTTGGTAACGAAAGCTTAGAAGATACAAAAGGTCATAAAAATATAAAGAGACCCTTTGTCTGCTGTTTCTCCACAGGCGACATCCAGATTGGCATGGTACACAGGAAAGAAAGGCTGGATGTTGAAGTTATTCGGGCTCGAGGCCTGGTGGGCAAACCAGGGAACAAACAGACCCCAGGTACATTTACATTTAACATTTATTCATTTATCTGACGCTTTTATACAAAGTGACTTACAAGAGTCTTGCTCAGGGACACATTGGTGCCTCACAGTGGATTCGAACCGTGCTTATACCCCACTACTCAATCTGATTGTGACATAATACTGCTTTTTCCTGTTCTTGGACTGTTTTGTGAGGTTTATATGTAAATCCCTGCAATCTTCCATTTGCAGCACCTTATGTAAAAGTATATCTGCTGGACAATGGGAAATGCATCAACAAAAAGAAAACGCGGACAGCTAGAAAAACTCTGGATCCTCTTTATCAACAGCAGCTTCAGTTTGAGGAGAATCCCGAGGGGAAGGTTTTACAGGTAACACCATCAGGCCTGCTTCTTATTTTCTCACTTTACTAAGTTTGAACAACATGTAAGGTAGAGACTGTGTACTTGAAAGTGTCATGAAAGGCAAATTGCAAAAATCAGCATCATTTTCGATATGGCAAATATCATTTCTTCTGATTTTAGAATTAAATTTGACCTAGACATGTTTTCACCACGTTTATGTATTATAGTATTTATTAAAATTTTCATTGGTTTTTTTGTTTGTTTTTGTTTGTTTGTTATTTTTACATTTCCAGTTTTCATTTTAGTTCATTTTTATTTAACTTTATTTTTATTCATTCTAATACTTCAAATTATTTTATTTTAATTATTTGCCAAGTTTCTAATTTTAATTAAACTTTTTAATCCAATATTTGAATTTGAATTTTTTAGAATTTGAAATCTTTATTTCGAACATGAAAAAGAAAGTATATAAAATAAAACAATGTTTAAAAACTTAGGAAAAATCAAAACAAATGAGCAGCAAAAAAAAAAATATATATATAATATATATATATTTCTTTGCTGTTGACACTTCTATTACATGTGCGAAAAGGAGTAGGAAGAAGTAAAACTTATATACTCCTACCCCCTAAATTAATCTGAAAATTAATTAAAAAAAATTTTATATTAATAAAAATTAATAAAAAAAATATTTTTAAAATATAATATTTTATTCATTATAAAATATTAAATATTTTTATTCATTTCATCTTTATTTCAAATCACTTTTTTTAAATATAGTTTTAGTTCAGGATAATGCACCACATCCCCAGAAAGTCTTTGACTAATCATGTCTTTCGTTTCTTTCTACAGATTATTGTTTGGGGGGACTATGGACGCATGGACCACAAGTCTTTCATGGGAGCCGCCCAGATCCTTTTAGATGATTTAGAGCTGACCAACATGGTGATTGGCTGGTATAAGCTCTTCCCTCCCACCTCATTGGTGGACCCAACCTTGGCACCTTTAAGTAGTAAACCTCCAGATTCAGGCCTGGACAGTTCCAACGTTCGGTCGTAGCGGCACGAGGAGGTGAGCGGCCGGCGTGAGTAGCTCCGGAGAGGGTCTCGACAGGTCACGTCCTGGTTACACTGCATGCTTGATGTGTTGTGTCCTCTGAGCCCGTGCAACAAGAGGCAAAGAAAAGGCCTGCGTCCTGCCAAAAAAAATATATATATGGAAAGAAATTGTATGCTGCTGTCGCACGCAGGGAATGTTCGGGGATTCGGCAGAGTCTCTTAACAGGAGAGAAAGGAAGACGCTGTTTTACGCTGGATGTCAGTGTTTCTTACCTAGAACTTGATGCGTTGTAGCCATTACTATAAGCCAAGCTGTCAAAAGAAGATCTATAAAGAGAGAAGCATTTGGCAAAAATGGAATTGGAAAGGGTAACCTAGGATAGATGACGTCCTCATCCTACATCAAGCCTGATCTCCAATGGATCGATCTTCAAATCGTTCGCTGATGAGGAAATGGATACGGCCAGAGATCCTGTCTGATTCAGGAAACGACACAATTCTGAAGAAAAAAAAAAAATAATATAAATAAATAATGGACCTTTTGTGCTCCGGTATGATGTTCTCTTTGTTGTACTGTATGAGATTTATAATTTTTTTTCTTTTTTTCTTTCTTTTTTTTGCATGGATGCAAAGTTGTTTTTTTTAAAAAAAAAAAGAAAAAATTCTATGGTTATTTTCCTCGAGAAAAAAAAAAAAAAGAAAGAGAGGAAGATACTTATTTAAGGATGACCAGATCAGCCATTTTCAACAGTTTGTATTATTTTTTAATATGAAATTCTCTAGTGCATGATTTTCAAAGGGACTGAATGCAAAACGATAACTACGTGATTGTCATCCTTTAGAATATTCTTCTGTATTTTTACAGATCTCGGTTACAGGTGTGACCTGGTGAGACTTTGTATCTCATATTATTAACGGTAAAAAAAGCAAGAGATGGTTGAAGAAAACAATAAATGTACAATATTTATTTCGATATAAAGCCGTGACATGAAAATTGTACATTTCTCCCTTCAAATGCAGCCATAAATGTGTTCATGCGGAGACAGAGCTGTCGTGTTCTGTTCCACTAGATTGGCTCATTCATTCAAAGCAAGCATGTTGAAAAGGGTCTGCAACATGGATTGAGCACACCGTCTGAGTAATACAGCATGTTTTGATAGAGACATCTGGGAATTTTTTGCAGTTTTATGTACAGTGCATGTGGACCGGAGGCTCTGTCGCCCCCCACCGCCGATCCAGTGGCGTCCACGGGGTTCAGGTCGGGGTTGAGGTTTCGTGGCCGACGGTTCAGACGTTCAACGCAACATTCCACCTCTTGGCACTCATCTTATCTTGAAGTTTTGAAAAGAAAAAGAGAATCAAACAGACAAAAGAGAACTTAAAAAAAAAGAAAATTTATATTTATTCAAGGTTGACTTGAAAAAGGTTGCAAGTATATTTTATTTTATTATTGTTATAAAGAAAATGTTATAAAAATGGATCCCATTGGATGGTGCTGTACAAGTCTCTGATCTCAGAGTGGACTGGACAATGTTTATACACGTTGTGTTAGTCGACACAACAGACACTGGTTGTCGGATGAGGAGTCACAGTTCATGGAGATGGGAAAATTGCCACACAATATGAATTTTTAATTGTTTCTTGTTTTGAGAGAATAAAATTCATTTACTAATTCCTGGTTTTGTCTGCTATTGTTCCCCAAACCTACTCACTAACCTTTTAAAACTTGTTGTGAAGGCCACAGACATTACAACATGACCTACCAAACATTTACTTTCATGGATTCATTTAGGTCAAAATACTAATTTAATCCAAATGCCAATTTAAATTGAACGACATATCTAGCTTTTATATAGATATCTATGGGTATTATCGCCATATCTATATAAAGGCTAGATATGTCGTCCGCGCTGCTAGTCAATGGAGGTCGACGTCTGCACCTGGCGGCCATCTTGTCACAGGCAGCTCGCTCACTCGTAACATTGTGTTAATGGTACATGTACTATTTAAATGACCATAACTTGCTCAATTTTCTACCGATTTTCAAACTGTTTGTTTTGTTATAAACGTCAGAGATGTAGTTATGACACTGCATACTTAATAAAAAGTGTATGAATAAATAATCATCCAGATAATTATAGCCACGTTAATAACGTTTGTAAGAAACCAAACCGTTTGTAAATCCGTCAAGATTTCAACGAGATAAGAGTATTTGTGTTCGTGCTGACCACTCATCTTACATCAGCTTGTCTGTGACAAGATGGCCGCCGGTGATGACGATGGAAACTCCGCCGTAACACATCCACATCCACTACTCTGCTCGCGTACTGTTTTTCGCATACTATATAGTATGGAAGTACGCGATTTCGGACGCAGCCCTAGCCTTTACCGCCACCTACCGTTTAAGATGACGTACCGGAAGCGCAAAACTTTACAAGCACGCGCGTTGTACATACGCTTTTCAATTAGACACTTAACATCCCGCTGAACAGCCAGCAGTCGCTCAAGATCATTAAATGGGAAAGTGAAAAAGGTAAGCCGTTCATTTTGCTACATTGAAGCACTTTTACGTTCTCTGGTTGGTTTCTCACGATTCGGACATCCTGGAAATGCACACTTTTAACCGTTGTTGTATAGCGAGACCTGCTACAGCACATTAAGTGTCTACCGTATTTTCCGCACTTTAAGGCGCACCGTATAAGGCGCACCTTCAATGAATTACCTATTTTAGAACATTTTTCATATAGGGCGCACGCACCTTATTATGTGGCGCATAAAATACTGCAGTCAAACGTTTTTGAATGGGTTTGCGTTATACGGTGAGCAGAACCTGGGCCGACATGTTTCTATCTGGGAACCTGACTGGCTCTCTGATTGGTGGAATTATTTACATCACAGCATTACAACCGGCGCTGCGTCATGTCTCTGAATAGGTTCACGCCCACTTTTGGGGGAAAACTAATTAGACTCCCCATAGACTTCAATACAAAATAACGGCAAAAAACAACGTCCGTACACAGCCGACAGGCGTAAATAACTTAAGAAATCACTTATATAGAACATGTCAAGTAATTATATGTCCCTACCAAAGAGCGTGAAAGATACATACACAAACTTAATTTGGCCAATTTAAAAACATGTCCCTTTATTCTCCCAGCGTCAAATTGCTGTAACAACCTCACCCAGTGGCCAGAGCTGTCTTACCCGGACATTTACTTGTACCTCATCGAGTCACCAGGTAAGCCAGTGAATGATTGTATTTCGTTTTTTAAAGTAAAAAACCTTAATGCATATATGAATTTATGATGATGATGGTAGGTAGCCTGGGCTAGTTGATAACGGGCATAAAAAATGTATCTTTCACGCTCTATGGCAGGCAGGGTGGGCATATAATTTCTTGACATGTTTTATATAAGTGATTTCTTAAGTTATTTACGCCTGTCGGCTGTGTACGGACGTTGGTTTTTGCCGTTATTTTGTATTGAAGTCTATGGGGAGTCTAGTTTGTTTACCCCAAAAGGGGGCGGGGACAAAATTGACACTTAAGTTCCCGGATGTGCGTATAATGTGTGAAACAGAAAACCATCAATTACCAATCTTGTAGCTCACAATTTGTCTTTATTAGTTTATGTTATCGTTAAAAATCAATTACCCTATAAAGAAAGGAGTTCTCTAAGACCAAGGATATAAAATTCTTAATATTTTGGTCGATTTGAATCTTATGTTTATTTAAAAGATCGAGTCTAGTCATATCTAAATGTTCTTCTCTGTCCATAGATGGCCTCCTGCTTTAGTCAGTATTGTATTAAGACTAAATGATAATTGCAAATGGTGTCTAACTACCTGAACTTGTTTAAAGTTTTGCCAAAATTGATTTATTTGCCAAATACGTTTAGGCCACTGACTGATCATCAGGTTCAGAAAATGGGGTTTCGTTTCTTAGCAATTGATAAAAACATTTGTGGTAGTTTTAATGCATTTTAAAAGTCAAATTAACTGCTGTGCCAGAAGGCATCAAACATCAGACATTTAGACTATTGGTTGGGTTAGGGGTCATATTGGTTTAATATTTGATCGAACTACAAATGTGTTTAGCTTTTTAATCCGATTAACAAAATTAAACGGGCTTTTGGCTCCACCCAGTGGAAACAGCAGCAAGAATTTATACAGTCATGTGCCACAAACCAAAATCCAATGAGGCGTAAAAAAAAAAATTGTTTGTTTCCGGTTTCCGACCGACCCTGTCAATTTATGTGCGACCCAAAATTATTTTATGAGCTTGGGGAAGAAATAATAAAAATTTAATAAATACACAAATAAAAAACTCTGAGGCGAACTATTAATTTACGTTTTTGTACAGCTCCGTCTTTTTATAGCACGCGATGTAAGATGCATCTTGTCCTAAGATGCATCTTGTCATCTATTAACAAACGAGGCAGATATCGTTCGTCAAACTGAACTATAATACATATTATACAAGTCTTTTTTTGTAATTTAGGATATTTTTATTCATATTCGCACACATACAAATACATTCATAGGCATGCACACACCACATACTAATACCTCCATCCGCCTAGTTTTATTAAAAAATCATCCTATCATGATCCAATCATGATCCCAATCCCATCTTCTGCTGTCTAGCACTTCTTTCGCCATGTATTTGTTCGTTTCTTTCATTATTTTATGCAATCCAAAACACTCTAACCTGCCGCGGTTCGTATCTCTAGAGCCCGTCTAACTTGTCCGCTTTTCCGGGACAAATGGAAAGTAAAAAGAGAATTTTACTCGCCCCAACGGACAAGTAGCCTGATTAGAACATCAATAACAAACAAAAAAAAAATAACTAGGGAATCACTAAACCGAGAGAATGATTCTTATTTTATTACATTTATTACAAGTTGCGATCGATTGTGGATAATAAATGTAGCAGGCCTACTGTATTACTGATGGTAAGGTTGCGCTGTTGACGCTCGCGCAGAGAAATCTACACACATGAGCGGAGCACACACACACAGTTAACAACATATTCTGCCTATAAAAAATCTAAATGTGGAGTTTTTATATTTTAACATATGTTAAGCACTAAGCAGCCTCAATTATTTTTCCTGAATACCATCACGATTGAAAAAGTGACATTGATTTCCTACAACAGTTCAATAAACAGTTAAGATTATAAGTCACTTACTGTTTATAAGCAATATTGGGTGTTTTTGTTCCATTTCAGCAGCGAAAATAGTTCCAAAGAAAAGTCACAGCAGAACCACGACGCATCTCACAGGAACTCATCCTGTTTTCATTACTGAATGATTCAGCATTTTGAACGAATCGGTTGAGTCAAGGATTCAATGACCCATTCATAAACATCAACATCCGTCTCAATCTTGAATGAATCAACCGTTTGAACGAATCGTTTGAATTAATGAATCAATAACTCACTCATTTATACGGCCGCCTGCCGCCACCTATTGGCAGTTTAGTGTTATGTTTATAAGTAGCCTAGTATAATTCTTTCCAATATTTCTTATTTGCACATTTAAATCAATTTCATAACATTATTTAATGAAATTGTAATTTTTCAGTGTAAATGATTTAATTTCATCAGCCCTACCTAGGGTAACAGTATGCTTCATCTTTCATTTTAAATTCCTAAATTTGATCAATAAATTCAATTATTTAGAATAATAAGACACTATAGGGCATTTAATAATATTGGTGGAGGGGATGCCCTTAAAGGTGCAGATATTACAATTTGCCTTTTAAAATATCAAAGCTGATTGAACACTGATGAGAATATTGCTTCAGAATAAAAAATAAATAAATTTTAAAAATCCGGACAAGCAACTTTTTTACTCGGACAAGTGATTGACAGATTTACTTACTTGTCCGGAGGACAAGCACGTGAAAATGCTTAAGGGGATAGTTCACTTTGAAATTAATTTTTGATATGTTTTAGCTTAACTCAAGATGTAGGTGTCTTTGTTTCCACAGTAGTTTCAATTTTGATATTTTTAGGTTTGACTATCCCTTTAATGTCGAGCCCTGAATAATTTCCTACCCATCCCTTGCTGCCACTGAAAAAAAAAAAAAAAAAAAATCCCTACCGACCCATGACCTCAACTGACAACCAACCGGAACCAAACTTTTTTTTTTTTTAGGCCTGACCATTATTGCTCACTTCAGGGAAAAAAAGAAGTCAAACATTAACAAGTGGGGATGAACACTTTTATTCTCTTGGTGCAGTAAACATTTTTATTCTTATCTTTATATATATATATATATTTATATATTTTGCATGTTTGTGTATGTATATAATTATATAGATATATTAACACCGCATTATGAAATGGAAAAAGAAATAAGCACAAGACAGCTGGACATGCTTTTCAAGTAAACGCTACCGAAATGAAAACCAGTAATAAATATACACACTCACACAATTCTCAGTACCCAAACAGTACGGTTACCAAAAGGTTAACGGTAACAAAAAAAATAAAATAAATACAACAAAACAAAAGTGGCTGTTATACAATGCAACATCCTTTAAAAATAGTAGCTCCGTCTCAGATTATACTCTGTTATAAATAAAAGTCCCTCGCTCATATTCGCATGTGACGCACATAGTACCACGGCAGCGGGGACCAAACTCGCACTGAAATGAACAACCGTACCAAATTTTGGTTGATAACCCAATTTTTGCAAGCAGTTAAAAGAATAATTTTACTCAAAATGAAAAATAGTGAAAACACTTCAAGCTGTTTTTTTCCATACAACAAGAATCCTGAAACAAATCCATATGACTTTAGCGTTAATTGTCAAAAAATTGCCCTCAACCAATGACATTTGATGCCAAATCGCCATCGGCCCGTTCCTATTCACTGTATAGGAAAAAAGCAAACTCCACAAATAGTATGTCTGGAACAACGTGAGGGTGAGTGAGTAGACATTTCGTTTTTTGTTTTGGGTCAACCATACTTTTAATAAAACAAATGCCTGACATCAAATGTACAAATAAATTAAAGGTTCTCAGAGCACTTGGATGTGTTCAGTCTTTCATTGTTCCACACTGTCCAGGATAGATGCATGTGTTTGTGCTGCTTTCCCAAAACCGAGAACTGCACTGAACGGCTCACTCAACGTGAGCTTCATTTGACTCTTCAGAAAAATAGACTTTGACCTGGTAAAACATCTCAACGAATACTAATATTGCACAGTGGGATTGGGGAGTTCTTGTACTCTGTATGATTTTTACAGACTGGTCTTTTAAAAGTACCTGATTTCTGAAGCTCTTGGTTCGACTTTCGACCTCCGCTCCACTAGGGGGCGATAACACAAATAGCAAGCTGTGAGCAGGGGAATCTTAGAGTCAATTCTTAACAGAGCAGCAGTGACTCATCATCACTAGTTTCTGACTTCGCCGTCGCCTCCAGACAAGCGTCTGGGATCTGCGCCGTATGGACAATCCCACAGTGTTCACAGGGGCCGTCCCGACCCACCGGCCGGCCTCTGAGAGAGAGGTGGGGCACGAAAGCCTGCTCGAAGCCTTGCTCCAGCAGGGGCCTGGAGCTCTCGTCATTCGAGTCTGAGACGGGAATGAGGAGCTCCACGTCATCCTCATCCTCACCCCTAATACCGACATTGGTACAGCCCGCACTTCCTTGCTCCAGTTGGCGCAGAGGGCTGTGGTTCTGCCCAATGCCACTTGATCCTCCATCACCTGAGTGACCGAGAGAGAAACGAATCCAGCGCAGGCTGCGTGTGACCCGGCTTAAAGCACCGCTGAAGGGGCTCCTCGCATTAGTAGTCGTCGTCGTCGTCGCACACAGAGGTCCGGTCACTCCAGAACTTTCTGAGATGCCCTCAGAGATGCTGCTCTCTCGGCTGACCAGTGGGGCAGAGCTGGCAGACACCGAGACGATGGCTTCCACAGCTGTGGTGGGGGGCGTTTTCTGTGGTAGTGGGGCCATCAGGCCTCCAACAGCTCCAGGGACATCCCTGCGGGGATGGTGATCACTCTCGGTGTCCGTGTCATCCGAGTCCAAGGGCAGAAGTCCACGGTGAGAGCCAAACCTCTCCGGGTCACGTGCAGAGGCGTTGCCGGCAGGACTCTCTTCTGCGTCTGCAGACACCAGTGCGAGAGAGCCAGATCGCCGTGAACGTGTGAAATTGAACAGGCGTCTCCAGATGTTGCCGTGGCGCCCTGTGGTGGGGAGTCGGATTGAGGTGAAGCCCAGCTGAGAACGGACTGCCAGTCTTAGGTTTTCTAAAACAGACGCCTGAAAGGAAGAACAACAGGGAGTGTTAGCCAGGGCTCGACTCGCATCTGCGTCTAAAAATAGATGTGTGTGAACTAGGGGTGGGCGATATGGAAAAAATATCATATCACGATTTTTTTTTAGGAAAATCACGATCACGATTTTTTATCACGATTCTTTTTCAAGTTGGTTTTAATATTTTGCAAGTGGCTGTTCATTACAGCCAAACTAATGTCCCTATGTTAAAAACAAAGCCTTGGGTAACAAAAGAAAAAAGAAAGCCACACATTTAGGCCAGTGGCGAAGATATTTATCATTGTTTTCTTTGTTATTAAAAAAATAAGACAAGATAAACATTACACAAATTAATATTCATATTAAATAAGTAGTGCTTTATTTTTTCAGATGCAGTAGGTGTATTTAGCAGTTGCATTGAAGTAATTAAATGAACAAATATGAAATTAAAACACTACATAGACTTCACTGAATAAATTGATTCTTATTAAAGATATATTAAAGTTCTCAGTCAGTGAGTGATTTTTCTCCTTGTGTTTTTTATTTATTTATTTTTTTTATTAACACTAAAGGGATAGTTCCCTCAAAAATGAAAATTGTCTTAATTTACTCTCTCAAGATGTTTTAAACCCGAATAAGTTTCTTTCTTCTGTTGAAAATAAAAGTTATTTTGAATAATGTGGGTAACCGAACAGTTGCTGGTCCCCTTATAGTTTTTTTTATAGGTTCTCTCCTGGAAGTTTAATGGGGACCAGCAACTGTTTGGTTACCCACATTAAAAAAAAAGAAGTCTTTTGTGTTCAGCACAAGAAAGAAATTAATACAGGTTTGGAACAACATTAGAGTAAGTAAATAATGACGGATATTTTTTTTTTTTCTTTTTTTTTGTGAACTATCCCTTTAAGGACAAGCGGCAGTAGGCTACTACGACTCGTGAAAAGTCCTCTTACCGGCTCCCGCTTCCTCGCTCTCCCCCTCCCTCTTATTTCCGTCAATGCAGCCAACGTGACATGCGACAAAGCGGGAGCCGGTAAGAGGACTTTTCACGAGTGAAGGTATTATTGCGCCAAGTTGAAGCGCTCTAAAGCACTTTTTTATGGTATTCCGCCATACAATATAGTCATCAATTTTAAACGCTTAGAAAAACACAACGTTTTATTTTGTTTCACCAGCCTAGGTCGAGTTACACTAATCGAGTAACTGTGTTTAAATAGGGAAAATGAGGAAGTGTTTGGTCGCTTCTCTTTTTGGCCCATATTTAATGCACTGGGCTAAGCTAAGTGCATTAAATAGATAGCGTGCACGCACTGAGACGAGAGAGGTATGCATCAGCTCGTCTTAATTAAGGGAATAACATAGTTTAATATGAAAACCCGGTGGAGTATCCCTTTAAGTCCAAATAAATGCAGTTTCAAAGTGACCCCAGCTGAGGAATATGGTCTTATCCAACGAAACGATTGGTCATTTAAAAAAATAAATAAAAACGTATATACTTTTTAACCACAATTGTTCGTCTTGTGCTGGTCTGCGACGCGCCAGGCATTACATATTCACGTTGGAAAGGTCCTTTCACCTAAGTCCAGCATGATCTTTCATTATTATATAATTGTTTTTTTTTTAAAGACAGATCATTTTGCTAGATAAGACCCTAATTCTCAGCTGGGATCGTGCAGAGCCCTTTGAAACTGCAATTATTTGGACTTCAACAAACTGGTTACCGTCCATTGTACCTATAAGTTCATTTTCCTCAAAAAAACAAACTTTTCATTTCTTTCCGTCTAAATCCCGAAAATAATCAAATAAATAACGAGTTGACAACAACTCTGACACCCAACGATTCTATCTTGTCTACAAACCACGTTTGTCACGAAAAAACACGCAATAAAACGAACCGGAAATGACGCGAAACAGCACGTGCGCCAATACCCAGAACACAACACGCGAATATGGACGTCAGACATTTGGACGAATATTTGCTCAGAGGAAAAAAAAATGCAAAAAAAGAAAACATAAGATTTACCGGGTGACCTAAACCCATGCCTTGCTATGATTGGCTGTAGCTCATGACATCACTGTGGGTGAGTCGCGCGATGGCTCTGGATTACTAGCATGCTAGATATTTTTCTGGGCTCGGCGACACGTCTGTGCTGCGTCGTTGGCTCTTTCATACTAACAGATTGGCAAGCGTTCGTCGCCCCCGCGATTTGCACACGATAAGTGTAGTGTAATGTGAACTTGGCTTTATCTTCTTACCTGATTTCCAGAGCAGACAGGAAAATCTTCCACTGGGGGGATCAGTCCTTGAGCAATTAGCTGCCCATATGAAGGAGGAGCTTCTCTTCTCAGTAACTCTGCCTCTACTCTGGACAGCTGAGTCTCAAATGACCTGGAAGAACAACCAACAACATTGATTGGTCATTGACAAGGGAACAGTCACAGAGACGTACACTAAAATTTAAATCATTTCTAGGGCTGAAACGATTCCTCGAGTTACTCAATTACAAAAATTCCTCAAGGCAAAAAATCTGCCTCGAAGCCTCGTTAAACTCCTATGACGCGCACTTTACGCGCACGCAGGGATCTGATTGTTTCACACGGACCGTTGTTCAGGAAGCACACCATAGCGCATGATACATTTGACTTCATAAATGGCAGAGAATGTCTAAAGTTTGGGATCATTATATGTTTATGAAGGGAGAGAACAAGATGCAATGTGTCTGCATACCTGGCATTCCATACCCCCGATTTCTAACGCTGAAGTGTCAATCCCTTCGGTCAAATGCCTGAAAGGTGAGTTCGTCGAAAGTTCTACCTGTTGAGCCACTCGCGATCGACTAGTTTTACCACCGCATGTTAATTCGCGAGTTAAAATATCCTGTAATCTTGTGCGAAATCTAGAGCAATTGCGACAATTCATCATATGCTTCAACTTTTATGTAGTCACGCAACAAAAATTTCAGCATACATTCACTGTATACACCGGGACGTGATGGAGGAATAGTGTGAGACACACACACACACACGCACTCTGATGTTTGTCTTGAGATTACAGATTCTTATTTATAATTGTTTTATTTCCATTTATTTTTTTATAAATTGTATACATTTGTGTACCTTTTTGGGTTGATATTTTATATTAATTTATTTTTGTTTCCAGGTTTTTTTGTAATGTTGTTGTATTAAGAAGACAAAACTAAGGCCAAATGGGCTTTACTATTTCAGTTTGTATTCAAAGTTTTACATGTCACAGGTTTTACACTAAATTGTTTTAACTGTATTGTTATATAATTGTTGGCACTGGCACTTATAAACACTAAATGGGTAAAAATCGCAATAATTAGTTGTGGAGCCAAATGTTGCAGTTGAAATAAATACCTCTATTTTTTTTTTAAAGAAATAAAAGCCAAACCTCACCATTTTCGTAATACATTATTTGTTTTGGTTGCTTAAAAACACACACAAACAAATTATCCGATTACTCGATTAATCGATCGATTACAAAAATAATCGACAGCTGCAGCCCTAATCATTTCCCCTGCCAATCAACTTCTATTTTAGCTGTAGTCTGGCAATCTACCCAACGAACTGCTTCACTTACCTGCGCTCAAACATCCTGAGCGAGTACAATTTGCAGGTGCAGCCCAGAGCAATGACCAGCAGCAGGCCGCAGATCAGACTCCCGATGACGGCGGCAGTGATTACTCGTGTGGGTACGATCACTGGGCAGCTTTCTTCATCACTTCCATCCCCACAGTCGTCTTGCGCGTCACACACCCAGCTTTCAAAAACGCAGCGGTTGTTCTTGCAGTGGAAGTTTCCAGGCTGGCAGAAAAAGCAGTTCTTCTCATCTGAGCCGTTTGGGCAACGGTTCTGGTAGTTGCACCGGTCAGACCGCGGGTAGCAGGCACCGTTTCGTGAGCACGGGAACTCGTCTTCCTGGCAGTTGCTGCAGTTGAGCTCGTCCCTGCCATTGGGGCAGTGCCAGAAGCCGTCACAACGTTGTTGTTCGGTGTAGCAACCCCAGTTCCCTCCACATGGGATTTCCCACGGCAAGCAAAAGCCATCGACTTGATACGTGACATTAAAGCCTCGAGCCGCGTTGATTTTGTCGGCATAAAAGTGTATCCGAAGTTGTCCTGAGGACGACACCACTGCTACAGGGGCTCGAGAGTCAAACGCAGTCAACACACGCAACAGACGCCTGGGGTTCTCCTCTAATCCGTCGTAGACTTTGACGTAATCGCCGTAACCTGTGCCATCCAGTTTGAAGTCCATAAAGCGCAAGACGACCTTACGGTGGTCACCGGTGTCGATCAGCCAGGTGCAGTTACTTCCAGGTGGATAGAAGTCAGGATAGTTGGGTGAGCTGAAAGTACCGTAGAAATTGTGCAGCCATTCGCCACAGGTGGGCACGTCACAGTCGATCTCGTCGCCCAAGTCTTGACAGTCGATGCTGCCGTCACACTTGAGGGACTCCGGCAGACAGGTGTAAACACGGGTGTAGCGTGAAAGACAAGGGAACTGGTTGAAAGCGCAGGGCTGGAAGGAGAAGAACGCAGAGGGGTTCGGCTGGACACACAGCTCCTCGTCTGAGTTATCGCCACATTCGTCCATGGTGTTGCACTGCCACGACTCTGGGATACACTTCCCGTTGGCACAGTGGAATTGGTCAGGATTGCAAATGGCTTCTTCCGATTTACCTACAGTACCAATTACAAACAGATTTTACCCCTTGGATAGACATGAGCATTAATTTATACATTTTTGGAAGATTTGTTTCAGAGGATGTTTATTGTGCAACAGGCAAAGGGAAGTCTGTGATCTATGTTCAGCATGAAATGGAAATAACTAAATTGTCTATTATATGCCTTATTTAAATGTAAGACTGAGTCAGTATCCAAATATAATTTGGCCACATTAACAATACATGGCTCAAGTGGCCTAAGTTCAATCGGATATGACCCACGAACGTGTAAACGGGGGAAAAAGCATTCTGATATTCTCTAATCGGTTTCAGGCCTCATTGGATGTTAATTTAGATACGTGGATTTGTGTCTGACGTAAACTGACAGATTGAATATTCCCATCAATGCAAGTTGTTTGTCGTTGAAAAAGTGACTAATTTTTTTTTTCTTTTGACTTAAGAAACCAATGTTTTGCTGACCTTTAAAGATGTTGCGGAAAGAAAAAGCTTTTCCGGGTCAGTACGTCTACAATGAGTTCTTTCGCAAAGTGTAGTGTAAATGCAGATATCCGATGTAGGTCACTTTAAAAATATATAAGCTGGTCGTGTATATGGTCAACAAATCGAAATTGTAAATGCGGCCTTTGAGAGAATTTTTTTGAATTTGAAAACGCATTTTATTACAATCAAAAATAAAACATTATTTCATTACATCATTCTACATTTTATAAAACACACACACACACATACACAAACACAAAAAAAGCCTCTAATCTGCTATTTATACATGACACCATAAAAATACTCCTTTTACTTTTACGGCTTTTGAGATAGATAGAGAGAATTGTTTCATAAGTGTTCTAGAGCTGAGCAAAAAAAATAGATTTTTCAACTCATCGCTTTTTAAAATGTGGTCGACTCGATTCAAAATCAATTCTCAATTTCTGACCTACACAAAAAACATATTTTTTATGTCTCTTTAATTGTCTTTATTCTATTGAATTTATTTGTGCTACTTTTATCAATTTGATTCAAAGATTGAAATCAAGCTTCCATGTGTTGCATAAACTCTTAACAAAAAATTACCCCATTGTAAAAACAAACATTTAGGTAAGACGAATGTAATAAAAAAAAGGTCTAAAAAATAACAGCTATTTATCTCTCTATCTATCTCAAACATAAAATAACCTGATCCTGTTTGATTAAGGCATGCGACTTCGTTCAGACTTGTCCAATTTTCAGCATTAATTTTGCATCTTGCATCAAAATCCTGTCTCTGCATTGTATGCATTTAGTGTATAGTTTATCTAAAATAAAAATACTTTTATATACAGGTTTGTAGCTCTTAATTTCTTTGTATTAATTAACCACTTGTAAAGGTATGTCCACTGTTCTTTTTTTTTTTTTTTATAAATATAGGATTTGCATTACATCTATATTCATTATTGTTGAATCGAGAATCGAATCAAGAGCTTGCAAATCGAATCAAATTTGAACATCTGAATCGATACCCAGCCATAAAGTGTTGCATGGCAGTGCCACACAGTGTTTAAGACGTCTACGTAACACATCCTCTATGATGCCGTTAAATCTAAAGGGATATAAATAGCAAGTCTACCTGTTATGTAAGAGAGCCTAAAGCCCTTTCCAGTCATGCTGTCATCAGAGTGAAACTTGATCCACACATGATCCTGAGAGGAGATGTATGGGGCAGGAATAGACGAGCCACAGGCCCGGTACCCATCCAGGTTCTTGTAGGTGCCAATAGAGATCCAGTCTAAACCACATCGATGCGAACTCTGAATTTCAAAGTCCTGAAAACTAAAAGTACAACCAATTTTAAGTAAAGGAATGTCAGGTATGTGCACAATAATATATATTTAAAAGAAAAACAGCATCCCTGTGATCAAGTTAAGCATCTAATTAATAATTTAATGAGTTAAATGACATTAAGACACAGGATTACGTCTTGTTGCATCTTAGATCTCAAATTGCAATAGATCATGACTTCTAGGTGTATGAGTATTAAATAGTACCATTTAAGAAACATGATGCTGGGAAAAGCTCTACCTAACTACAGACATAAAAAGGAGGAGGTATATGTGAGACGACGTGGTGTCTTGCTCAATACTAGAGCCGTTGAAAAACAGAGTTGCGACACTCCCATAGACCGCCATAGGAACTGGAATGAGGAAGTAATGCGTGTCGTGGAGCAGCTCCAAACACTGATAGTTCCAGCATTGAACCCCACTGTTTCCCCAACCATTGTGAAATTTCTTTATATATGGAATTTATATATATTTTTTTAAATGTTGTATAAGTTTAATGATTCATAATACATGATTTCAACACATTAGACATGCTTTTTGATTGCTAAGAAATGTACACCTTAGACCTTTAATAATTTATAGACAGGCTGCCTGCATATAAACAGGTAAGAGGTAATCCTCAAATTTTCAAATAATTTTACTGTAATAGTAATATTTCTTATTTTATTGAGCAATAATAATATTCATAATTATTATTAGTCGTATTAAAATACAAGCACAAAATGTTGAGCCAAATTGTGCAGCCCTACTATACGACAAACCAGGTGTTCATTCATTCATATACATTTATATACATATATTATTTATATATATATATATATATATATATATATGAAGAGTTCAGATGCAAAAGCCTCTAAGTGCCATTTGAAATTTTCTTCTAAAATGATCATTTTTATCAAGCTTGTATATTTAAGTTCAGTAATTTCACTTAAATAACAATTAATAGGTAATTATTATTGCCATTTAAGTGAAATTACTGAACTTAAATATACAAGCTTGATAAAAATGACCATTTTAGAAGAAAATTTCAAATGGCACTTAGAGGCTTTTGCATCTGAACTCTTCATATATATATATATACACAAAATTCCCCCCTTCCCTTCACCAAATCGTTCAGCCCTACTGAAAACTGGACCAATCATCTCTATAAAACTGCTTCTATTGGCAAAATTAGTGAGTTTCTGTGTTTACCACAAAAATCACATCCTGTGGGAAGAAATACCAATTCCTATTTCTGTGCCAGTAACCATGGACACCATTCTCAGATTAAGACACAAAAAAATGCCCTAGTTGAGGCAAACAGGCTGTACAAGAATAGAGCAGATGCAGAACATAAAAATAGATATAAAGAACCATTTCAAAGGAGTTTGTTTGAGGTGGCAGTAACTGAAAAATAAATTATTTATACTAACACTCATTCCTTTCAACCAGCACTCAAAATACAGTCCTATCCCCATGAAACTCCCAAGAGACACCGCACTGCTTTAAAAATATCCTTTTGTAAATCAGTGACCAAGATAAAAACAAACAGAAGCCAATTTCAAACAATATTTTTAATTACCGGTCAACCAATATTTTTTTTGTGTTTTTTTACAATTTACATCCAACACAGTAAAAAAACAACAACTTGGGAAGACTTGGGAAACTGGATAATAAACACAGCATAGTTTGAGTTTGTCAAGTTAGGCTGTCAATAGAGGGTAAGAAAGCTCTCAGATTTCATTAAAAATATATTTTGTGTACCAATATAGATAAAAGTATTATGGGTTATTTTTTTTAAAGCTTTGGCGATATATCAGTTGACCACCATTTTTCATCTGCATGTAAAGAGGCAAAGCAGTTTCTATGAAAAAAATGTTAGCTTGAATTGGTACAGAGTACCAGACTCCTCCACCACTGAAGGAATTTATAGCCTGTAATTTAGGCAAACTGTGAGCACCATCTTTATTCTTGGCCTGCTTTTAATCACGGAATGGTAAATATTGCAGTATTGTGGTGAGGAGTTACCTGATGGTTATGATCTCTCCAGGGTTGGCCCTGATGTTCCAGCTGCAGTTGATGCGGGAAGGATATTCAAAGGGCCAACCAGGGCTGGTTATCACTCCACTGGACGCCCTTATCTGCTCCGCTACATCTCCACAGGCTGGAGAAGACCACAAAAACAAAGATTAGGACCATGCACTGTCAAACCAAGTGAGCTGCCTTAATTACTTCACTGCATCTTAACCAATAATAAACCTTGTAAATTAGCCTTATTATTTGGACATGCTAGGCCTACATTGCATATGCTTCACACACAAAAAAAACCAAAAAAAAAAACCAGAACATTTAATAACTGATTCCAAATTGATTTCAAGAAAAAGAAAATGATAAAAATATACCACAAATATTTAGTCAAAGTTATTTTTAGTTAGCTTAAACTATCTTGTCCTTTCTTATTAGGGAATTAAATATTTGTTAACATTTCTACTGAATAAATGTTTACAACCGCATACTGAAATGCATTCTAGCCCTCATTGCAAATTATGCGATGATGCAAATTAGTCATTTTAAAAAGCTTTTAACTCAAGAGTGTATATGAAGATTTCAGATGCAAAAGCCTCTAAGTGCCATTTGAAATTCTCTTCTAGAATGATCATTTTTATCAAGCTTGTATATTTAAATTCAGTAATTTCACTTAAATGACAATTATTAGGTAATCTTCATTGCTATTTAAGTGAAATTACTGAACTTAAATACACAAGCTTGATAAAAATTAACATTCTTGAAGAAAATTTCAAATGGCATTTAGAGGCTTTTGCATCTGAACTCTTCATATGATTTCTCACTGAATTATGAACACCAAAACAATTAAATGCATGCAATGTAACCTATATGTGGGTTCCAGAATTCCCCCTTAAAAAATTGCTAGAAATAAAGCTAGCCTACTAATGAAATGGGGTGGATGAAAGAGTAGCAGTTAAAAATTACCCAGGCAAGAGGTGACATGTGGGTAGTAGACTAATCTGGGCAAAATATCAAGAGCCTTTATATCTCTTACATTCCTTGGGGGGAAAAAGGGATCTGCAAAGATACACAGCTCCCCATAACCTATGTATGAGGACTCTAAAAAATGCTTTGGCTTTAACCTCATTGATTATCTATTTTGCTCTGAAGATAAACAAGATCTATAACCTAGTATGTAAACCACAACAGAACAAGACTTTACCGTTTGACATCCCTGATACATATACATTCTCGCTGTGCTCTGAAGAAACTGCATTTCCTGTAAAAACAGAAAGAAAAACAGATATTCCCACAGAATAAAAACCTATGATGCAACAGAAATCAATATGTGTAAATGAAAAACGAAATGGTGCAAAGACACAATACTTCAAACTCAACCTAGTGTGCAACAAAGCTTAAAAAAAACAGAGTCTAAATGTTATCCACTAGGAACCATGTGGAATTAAACCAGTTTTAAAACAGCAGAATGACCCAGAATGCTGCCCACATGTCAAGCAGCAAAGAGAAATGTGGTTCAAACACCCACAGTAATTCTGAAGACAAGACAATGCTTCACTTCAAAATCAGAATGCAAAGCAAGCAGAGGAAAATGGGTCACAATTTAGACTTCTCTTCAAAATTTGCAGGATGGGTGCATCTAATTCATATAAGACTTTTACTGTCAGTATTTTTCTCTCACAATATCACTATAGTGACATTTTCAAGGAAACTCCATTCTTCTTCATTCAGTGGAATAGATATGAAAGTAAAATTGAATTTGTGGGCCAATGCTTACCAAAACTAAGCTAGGTTTTTCATCCCAGAGTGCATTGCTTGCTCACATTTTTAAATGCTTTACAAAAAACATAATCACTAATTTAGGTCTATACATTAGACTGCATTTTGGGACGTTGTAGTACCTTCCCCTTCAGCCAAAATCCAACACGAATATAAACTGATTAGATGCAACTCGTACGATCTAAAAGCCACACAAGATGACCGTTAGATAACTTAGGGGTTTAACAATTACAAAAGCATCCTACTCTTCTATTTCTACAGTCATACTACCGTATTTATAATATACTTTTCTGTATGCTTGGGGGAAAAAAAACTGTAAGCAGAAGAGCCCTCATTGTTTGAGCTTGCTGATCATCTGTTGGGGTTTCCCACACTTGTGTCTGTTGGCTTACAGCAGCTGAGGGCATGATGGGAGCAAAGCAAAGGAGAAAGGCATGCAAACCAGGCCACTATAAAACAAATGTACAACAACTGATGAATATATTAGCTTGTCTATATCAACAGGTCAGTTGTAAGATGACAACTGGAACAAATGGACCAGTCTTTATTTTACTTTACAAGCAATTTTTAATAACTAGAGTGTTAACAATTAAACTTTACACGGATTTATCTATTAAATAATAAAATAGTGTAACGCCAACTGTAAGAAGGGTAATACTTTACATTACAATACGGTTAACATTAACTAACAATGAACAATACTTCTACAGCATTTATTATATTTAGTTTATCTCAACAGTTATAGATTTTATTTTATTTTTGACCATCAAATGTTGGATTTTATGTTCATGAAATGTTCATAAAGGATTTTGAAGGCCGAAACCGATACAAATATTTGTTGTAAAATCTGATATTCCGATATATCGGCCGATATTTTTATTTCAGGAACGCGCAACAAAACAAACAGATTTCCCTAACATTATTTATTTGTAGTTATTTATGGGTTTTAACTAAAATAATATGATAATGCATTTTAAAAAGTAACTTGCTGCACATTATAAAAATGCTATATAATGCTGCGCATTATATAATGCTGCGCATTATATAATGCTGCACATTATAAAAAAAAACACCCCTAATCTGTTTTATATAGAAAGTCAGAAAGCAGGAATCCTCCAAACATAATCAAAAGTAAAAAAGAAAAACAGAATTCCCCAAAACATGAAATGGAAATGTTTGAAAATCCCTCATCAGGGCAAATATACAGAGAGTTAGATAGGAAATAAAACCAGAGAATGGGATTAACGTGTTTTGTTTTCAGTCAAGATGATGGGATTCAATCACAGAGATGGACAGACATGCTGTAAACAATAGAAGTCTTTGTTCCCTTCATTCACCCGGATCTGATCTCAAACACAAGCCATGTCATCACATTCACTCTAAGGTACATGTTTAAAGTGTGTCAGAGTTTCTATGGCAGTAATTAAATCAAACCCAATTTAACCATTAGAGAAACATCAATGTATATGAATGAAAACCAGTTCACTTTTCCCCAAAGCAGCGCCACTGCAATATCACAACACTAGTTTATAACCGCGCATGTAACGTTAATACTATTTTAACATAACCAAAATAGCGTGATAAAACACATACAGTGAAATTTGCAAGTAGAGAAATAGAAGAAACATGCAAGTTAGTCTATATTATATAAATCAATAAACGTTAGAGAAGTGTCTTACCCATAAAAATGAAGAGTAGATGTGTCCATAGCAAACAGATCTTGTTTAGGTTCAAAATGTAGGCCATAATAGCTTAAAAATGATAAAATGTGCTACTCTGTAGTTTTAGTATCGCTATTTTTACACTATATGTGTTCTATAGAGGAGTATTACAGAGAGACTAGCTGTTCAACATTTCTTTTCGTTTCCTACTTCTATCTTGATTACACTGATGTTGCAGAAAAACGAACGTCTTAGGTAAACGATAATAATGTATAAATGATAAAATCATTAATACATTTGAATAAAAGCGATAATTTCCCTCAACAAAAAGCAAAGTGAGTGAAATCACAATCAGTCTTCCCAACACAAAGGAGTTGCTAATGCTAACAGGGTAATGCTAACGTTAACCTACACATCTAATCTAACCTACTAAGTTACTATAAATCCCACTGATTCATTTAATTAACCTTTGTGGTGTAATTCATCTAACTAGTAAAGCAGCGAAATCCTTTCCGATGTCCATCATTGATATAGAATTCGAAATAAACTGACTAAATCATGCACAAGTGTTGACTAGCCGGTTGTGCTAGCGCTTTTGTTTAGCTCACGAGCTCATTTAAAACATACACAAACAGTGTCCTTAAAAGCCTGAGACGAGATCAACACTAATCTGTCGATGATCCAACGTGAAAGCGCTAATTCCAAGAGTTTAAATGTGTCGAATAGCCCTCATCTAGACAAATATAGCCACACGCTACTCTACTGCATGATGTCGCTAACAGAAACCTGATCAAACCAAATACTGAAAATAAAACTAGACATCACGCTTGATCAATAACATGATCGTCTGCTGATCTGACTGAAATCTTCTTGCGGTAGTTTTGGCCTTTCCGATCGCTTGTGTGTTGTTACAGCCGGGTATTTACACAAACCAGCCCTTCCCCCTCTGACCACCTCTCTCTCTCTCTCTCTCTCTCTCTCTCTCTCTCTCTCTCTCTCTCTCTCTCTCTCTCTCACACACACACACACACACACACACAACACAATAGGATACCCACAATATGTCAAACAAAATAAGGAGCCATTGCCTTTCGCACAATTATTATTATTTTTAACTCAAAATATATGGATTGAGAAGGGACTGTACTGTTCCAGAACTGCCTAATAATGTAGTGGGCCCAGCACCACTGTTTGTCAATTTGATGCAAAAACTATTTCAAATGACTCCTACTGTAATGGTTATAGGCTACATTTCATCCTCACAAATCCAGAACCATTCACTGTAATCCCAATTTTAATATAGGCCTATTCTCATCTGATATTAAGTGCCTTTTTAATTAATTTAATAAAATAAACAAACACTTGAAAACATATCATCCTGTTACATCGTATCAGCCTGTTGGAAGGAACCTTTATTTTATTTTTTTACGATGACAAAATGTTACTTTTTTTTTGTTGATTTGTGTAATTCTTATAACTACTTGTGATGATGTCTGGCAATCAGATATATAGTGTTTTAAATTTCATACCAGTAAAAAGTTTAATATATTTTAAATGTACTTTGTTCCTGTGATGTCAAAGCTGTTCAGCATGATTCACACTGAAAAAAAATAATATGCTTTATCTAATCAATAAAATTGTGGCAACATATTACAAGCAATATTATTAATTAAATGATAAAAATTAGAATGTTAATTTGATTAACTATTACTCAATTCTAATTTGTTCAATTTAATAAATAATATTGCTTGTAATCTGTTGCCACAATTTTATTGATTAGATAAAGCATATTCATTTTTACAGTGCACATGATTCAAGAAATTATTTAATATGCTTAATATGCTATGTTGTCAGTTCTGAAACTTGCAGGATATTCTTATAATATGATGACCTCTTAGATGTGAAAATTTGATTTGATAATACAGCAACCAGTGTAGTATAACAGAGAGTTATTGTCGCTTTGTTTAACAAAGGCTTTGACCGTGGGGTCTTCTTCTCATAGTCAGAGAGGTCACTGCATTCAAGCGGCCCTGTATTGTTGAGCTCAGACATCATGGGTTGAAAAACTAACATCTGTTTCAACGGCCCACGTGCCCCTTACTGAGTGACAGATGTCGTGTCATCCACGCATGCCCAATGACGGGGTTAAATCCATTAGGAAGTAAACAGATGGTTCAGGATTTTTGTTCTCTGTGTCCAAAAGCTGTTGGAGTTAGTATTTTATTATGTAATTCTGCCCAAATCAGTTTTTCTCAAAGTACACTGTGTAATGTTCTGACCACCACTGTCAGTGTTTTGGCTCATGTGCTTTCTGTAGTACTCTGAAAAAAATATATATTTAATTCAACATAATTCTACATAAATCAAGAAGACAAAGGATTTTCTTCATTGTTGCTACTAAATGCATCCTTTCCCAGCCAGCAATGAAATTTGGGGCCCAGATGATGGCTTCATGGGCGGCAAATGTGGACCCCATTATGGGCTTGCACCCGGGATTCACATTGGGGCAAGCCGTGGAAGCCCAGACGTACTAAAAGTGGGACCTGTAAGGGAACTGCATGGGTCTTAATTGGGCAATTCATGTCAGACCCACTTGGGCCCCACCTGCCCAAACGGGTCTAAAGTGGGCTTGCACCCGGGATCCAACCATGGTTACCCAGATGGGCTTTAAATGGGCTCTGGGTCCTAACTGGACAGTTCATACCAGACCCATTGGGGCCCCACCTGCCCAAATGGGTTTAAAGTGGGTTTGAACCCAGAATCCAGCCGTGGATGACCAGATGGGCTTTAAAAAGGGATCTATAAGGGTGTTATGTGGGCAATTCATGACAGACCCATTTGAGCCCCGTGTCCTTAAAGGGGTTTAAAGTGGGCTTGCACCAGGATTCAACCGTGAATGCCCCTATGGGCTTAAAGTTGGCCCTGTAAGAATCTTATGTGGGTCCTAACTTGGCAATTCATGCAAGGCCTAACTAATCCCAACCATGCCAAAAGGTTTAAGGAAACAATCTCAGAAAAACTAAAAAACGAAGAATGAATATAAGTCTAAGATTAATACAAGACACTTGACGCTTTGAACTGCAATTGTTAAATTCAATTGTTTACATTCATGAACTGCTCAAAGACAAGAAGGTTGAGATACAAATGCAGTTTATTAAAGTTAATCCAAATCGTAATCAGAATCCAGGCATAGGTCATACAGGGGCAGGCAATCCAAACAAACAGACAAATCCAGATGGTGAGGCAGGAAAACGCTCAGAGTAACGTACAAGATTTCACAGGGAATAATGAGGTGAACCAGGCTTATATGGGGTGAACTAAACAATATAATGAGACAACGGTGAATGTGATAATCAGGGAGGATGAGTCCGGGCAGTGAATTATGGGAATCGTAGTTGTGAGTGAACAATGATAGTCTGATGTGGAGCGCCCTCCGGTGGCTCTCAAGGGCACTCCATCTGATAACCGTTTCATTATCTCTAAAAAACAATTTAAATGTCACAACATACTGGTAAATAAATCAAAAATATATATATTTAAAAAAAAAATCTCACAAACAAAACATCTCTTCCAATGAATACAAAATACGCTCATGGCGTTTGTGTGGTGGACGCTCCTTTTTCTTTTTCCCCCTCCACGGTCACGTGCGCCGGTAAACCACTTCCCCAGCACCATTTCCATTTCTTTAAGGTTCACATTTGGTGATCTACTACAGAATGACCATAATTATGTCCATGGGGAAATGAAGACATTTTTCATAAAGCATAATTTTGTGTAGAAGTCCTCCACCCTAAATATTTTTGACTGGAAGTTATTTTGGCACTTTCCAGTAGGGGTGTGTGCCAAAACGTCGATTATTAGATTAATCTTGATCCGACACGTGACGATTTGATTAAGATTCTAAACTCTTGATAATCGACTATATATGACAAACACGCGGAGCAAAAATAACAGGTGGAACCAAAGTTGCGCATACCGCCCGGATACTTTGGGAGGGCGGACTGGGGTACTGGATGAGTACTTGAGTAACTTATGTGCGTTGTTTAAAATGCGAGATTTAAACTCTTATTAAGAATCTTATTAAGCAGACCTAGATGGCATAGTGCAAGTGAAATGTTTGTCAGTGTATGTATAATCACTTTTAAAGCACTGTTACGTAATTTTATGTATAGATTTATCTGCCGACTTAATGTAGGTATGTGGACAAAAAATTAAAACTCAACAAATAGACAAATGGATAGCATATGTGGAAAGACCTGGGTACCCCCTTTACAAAAAAAAAAAAAAAAAAAGGTAAATATGTCAAGTATGAAGAAAGTTACAACATTTTATATTTCAGTAATCAGCGCCTATTTTTGTCTCATTTCTAAGGTGAAAACAATAGAATTTAGTGTGACCGAAAACAAGTTGTTTTTTCACAAAAATGCTCATAACTTTCTGAATATTCAAGATATCTTAAAGAAATTTTCTGTGGAGATGGGTTTCATATAGTTATTTGGATCTAACGTGGGTTTCATGTAGTTATTTGGATCAATACTTGATTTTAACACACGTAAAGACTGATTTGGCCTATCTTTTATAGTATTTTTCTGATGAGCAGTTGTTGAAAATACAAATAATTGAATGGAAAACAACAATTCAAGGAAAATTATATATCCTTAATTTAAAAGATGGATTTTGGTTGATTCATGCTATTTCCAGTTGTGTAAGAATATAGAGTTAACAATACTAATGCTGGTGGAGGAAAGAAAGTAGAGGAGACCACACAAATGTTGAGTGTAGCCTACACGACGCGCTGCATTTTGACAGCTTTTCTGCAGGTAACGTTCAGTGGCAGTAGTCAAAAAAAAAGAGGGGGAGTTTAAATTGCCACGAAATTTTGTACAGCACACCACAAACATATGTTCTTCATGTCTACCTTCCTCTGGAAAGTGTCCAAAGTGGGTAAAAATAATTTCTTGACAGTTGAATTCTTCCGTATTGTTTGAAATCGTCTTTCAGGAGGAAAATGCAGCCTGACTAGAAAAAATTTAAAACAAATGTGCAGTCGAAAACGCTAACGATGTGATTGGCTAAAAATAATCAAGGATTCCCACAGCAAGTCAATGAAAACAGCGCATTTTAGGAGACCCGCTCAGAGTGATTCGGGAAAATCCGGCACAGAGATTTGGAACACAATGGCGGCCGCTATTTTTTGAAATGTCCACATACCTACTTAATGACTCTAAAAATGAAATTATTGTGAGTTTAATAAATGTGAGGGTTGGTTCTACACGGTATCAGTCAAAGCTGTGGAGACACTGGTACTGGTGTATTCTGTGAGTCTATGTCACAAAATTGTACGGCTGTTGTAATGGATTGTATGGTTTTTTTTTTTTTTTTTTTTTTTTTTTTTTTTTCTCTTTCTTTTTTAAAAATGGACTTTGAGTCTGTAATAAAGTTTTGATTGATTGATAAACTGTAGTCCTATCCCAATTTGCTCACTAGATGGTAGCATTGTTGTGCTGTTAGTTCCTTAATTCTGTCCTGTTGACATCTCTTTATTATACAAATGTTAAACCAAATTTCAATCAGCTACTACACCTACATTAAAGACATGTCTGATAAAGAGTTAGCCTAACCCTAACCCAATTTTAAAGACAACACTAACAACTTTATAAAGGAGACATTATATTTGCATCTATCACTTTCAAATTAACAAGGACCTTTTCAGTGTTATTTGATAATGTTAAAAGTGCTTTTCAAACACATCCAGATCGGTTTGTTCCAAAATGCCACCAAGCTCTTCTTTGAAAGACATTTTACATATCACTAAATCTGCCAAGAATCAGCATAATCATTGGAGAGCTGGACCATCCACACAAGAGGAAGAACAGTTCCTCATTACTGGTGCGTACATGTTTTTAGTTTATCTTTGAACAAACCATGTAAAATTCGCTAATTAG